AGTTTGATTTCATCTGGGAAAAGGAGGACTAGATAGTGATACATTCATAGACAGGAAAGCATAGAGCTGGAAGTAAATGTTCAGAGTTTAATAAATATCAAATTGCTTTATACTGAGTTTCTCTTTTTATCCCCCCCCAATATATTTGGACATACTCCTATACACATAGAAACACATTCTTATTTTGCTCATTAAAGGCTCAATGTCCTTGGTTTCTTGCCTGAGCTCTATGGAGTAGCAGTTAGAAGCACCAGTGCACAGTCCCAGTGGTAAAACTATTTCCCTAACTCAGCTGTGTGCAGACTGCAAAGCCCTTTCCTCTTATTTAGTTTTAGAAATTCTCATAATCAAGCACCTGAATTAGCATGGTGAACTATAAACAGCTTAGGTATGGAGTCAGATGGAGCTAGCTATAAATGTCAATTTGATTTAGATGATCTTGGGAAAGTTATTCCCTTGCCTGAAGCCAAAATGTCTCATATGTGCATCAAAAGGAGAGGTTTCCTCTCCTCACGCTTTTGCTAAAAGTAAAGATAATTGCTTAATAACAAAAATTCAAACTCAAACCCAAGCTTCAAACTCATTGTCACAGCTCATAGCAGGCCTTTCATTGGATTGTGAAGGCTGTAAATCATACAAGAAAGATTGCCCACGTTTCCAAGTGGGAAAGCTCACTGTGGTCTTGGGGCTCATCAGTCCCGTCGACAATCAGTGTAGCATCTCTTCTCATACTACATTGATCATTTTCTGTTTGTGTCTTGAGAGTCTGTCAAATAACCGGCTCTCTTCCTTCAGCATCACTGATTAGTTATAGAAAACTAGCACTGATGTCCACAGGAAGGTAGACTATAGAATAGAATGAGTGTTACTAAAAATTGTGGAAACATTAACTACAAAACCTAAACTACCAGCAATTCAAAGTGGATTTAGAAGAAATCTTGATACCAAGGATATCAATGGCAATGTAAGATCAAACTTGGCTAAAAGCAAAGAAATTTAGAAGGATGACTATCAGTTTTTTATTGACTATGCAAAGATATTTTACTGTGTGTGGGCATAAGATATTGTGTCTGACATTGAGAATCTGGGAATCCCAGAACACTTAATTGTGCTCATGTGAAACCTAGACCTAGACCAAGAGGCTATTGTGTGAGTAGAATTGTTGTTGTTGTTATGTGCTGTCGAGGTGCCTGTGACTTATAGTGACCCTATGTACAACAGCTCTGAAGCCTGCCCAATCCTGACCCAGTCTCTCTGACTCCAACACACCTATCCCCATTGACCGAGTCACTATATCAGTCTGTCTCATCCAGGGTTTTCCTCTCCTACACTGTCCCTCCACCGTTCCAATCATGCTGTCCTTCTTCAAGTACCAGTCCCTCCTGGCCATGTGTTGATAGAATATTGAGGTGGAGTTTCAAAATCCTAGCTTCCAAGGAGAAACTTGGTTTCACCCTCTCTCAGACAGACTTATTTCCTTGGCCATCCATGGTATGTTCAAGATTCTTTTCCAGTGCCACAACTCAAAGAAGAATTTTCTTCTGTCAACTTTAGTCACTGTCCAGTTCTGTGATGCACAGCAAGTAATTTTGAAGGCCATGCACTGGATCAGGGGCAACTTAATCTCTAGACTGACATTGTTTCTTCTCAGAACTCTGGAGAGGTCCCTGACAGCAGATTTCCCCAGTACAATTTGTCTTTTTATTTGCTGACTGCTGGTGCCAAAAGTGTTGATTATGGAAACATTATTTAAAATCTAGAAAAGTATACATCAAGACTGTATCCTTTTGGCATACCTATTCAATATAAATGCTAATTAATTTATAAAGCTTGACTTTATGAAGAAGAATGAATCATCAGAATCATTCATCAGAATCAGAGGAAGACTGCTAACCTAAAGTCAGTTGTTCAAGCTATCCAGAGACTTTCTGCTTCCACAGATTTACAGCCCTGGAAATCATACGTATTTGTTCTACTCTGTCCTAGGTTGCTGTGAGTTGGAATGAATTCAGTGGCAATGGATAACAATGCTATAACACAGGAAATTTCTTAAGTGGAGGCAATTCTAGGTATATGAACTTCTATCTCAAATAGAATCCTTTTATTTTAATTTTCTACTAGTTTATTTCTAAAATTTGAATACATTGTTTTCAAGAACAAATTCTTTCCATTTCCCTCATCCTCCACCCAACAAATTGTACAACCACATGATTATTCTGCCTCCCTGCCCCCCACACTTCCTCATCCTTCTGCTTCTAACCTCTCCCACCCCTCTTGGATCCTTATACTCATTCTACAATAATGATTTTATACAATATTTGTACTTTCAGGATTGAGTTAGTTCACTCAGCATAATGCTCTCCCATCCCTCCCAAGTTAGGTAATAATTTACAAAGTCATTGCTCCTGCATGCTGCATAGTATTCCATTGTGGGAATAATTTCTCAATCCATTAATTTGTGGTTGCACATTTGCACTGTTTTCTTGTCTTTCAGTGGTGAGCAATGCTGCAATGAACATTGATGTACAAAACTCCATTAGTGTTTCAGTTCTCATTTAGTGGAATAAGAGAGATGCAAATCAAAACCACAATGAAGTACCATCTCACTCCAGTAACAGTGGCAAAGTTTAACAGGGCAGCAAGTAATAAATGTTGGAGAGGATGTCGTGAGAAAGGAACTCATATATTATTGGTGGGATTATAAAATGGTATAACCATTCTGGAAGGCAGTTTGGCACTTCCTCAAGAAGCTGAACATAGAAATTCTATATGATCCAACTATTCCACTACTTGGAATAAAAAGAATTCAAAAAGAATTCTTGATATCCATTTCTTAAAAGACAAAGCTCTTGTCTTTTCAGCTTGTCTTGATCAAGTCTTGGTGGTATAACCCATAGGGAGTTGCATTGCTAACACCAAAGCTGCTGTTCTCTGACAGTTAAAATCCATCCGTTGCTCTTTGGGAGAAAGATCTTCAATCCCCTTTTGTGTGAAAACCCACTGGAGAGTAAGCTATAACTTGGTATTAACTGGAAGAAAACAATATTTTTTTCCAGTCTAAATACTTGTTGTCTAAACTGTGATGCAAGCTATTCATGAGATGCATAAGACACTCTGTTGGACTGGGCAACAAGTACGTACCACTTTTATTTTTGTTAATATTTATTTTTTAATTGGGATTTGCTTGAATATTCACAAAGCAAATTCTTTTTTCCTTCAGCCATTTATATACATTTTTGTAACATTAATTGTGATATCCAAAATGTAACACACTCTTCCCTACTTCTTCCATATGATTCTTGGTTTCATTAATTCTTCCATGCTATTTCTTCCAGCCTTCTAATATTTACCTCATGTCAAATGCTACTGTTTTGATTTTGTAGGGCCGATTGTTCTAGGGAGCAAGTATCTCCCTGGAGATAGTGTTCCCATTATAGAGATGTCTACAGCTTACGTGAAGGTTGAACCATAGCTTTGTTCCAGATTCAAAGGGTGACTAAGTGTCAACGTCTTTGGGATTCTACTAGTCACCATCAGACCAGCAAACCTGGCCATGTTTATCCTTTTAAGTTTTGTTTTACAGTTTTCTTCCACTTTATTCAGGTTTCTTTTTTCTCTTGTGATTGCTTTTAAAGTAGTTGACAGGGGTAGTCAGGGACCATCTAATTATCCTTGTCTCAGTTTCCTGGAGTTGAGGCTGGAGTGGACCATTTGTCTAATTATTTCTATACCTCTTTGATATTCTTTTCCCTTATAGTTGTGCATTAGAAAAGTACTTGAAAGCTCTGCAGATCTTCTCATTTCTTAACCGTAGTAAGATGTAGAACATTGTGGATTTTATCATGACTCATGACCTTGATGTCACCTGAGAAAATGGTTTTGAGGACCTACAACCAGTAACTTTTACCCTCAGAGTGTTGGGTTATAATTAAGAAAACTATATAATATTACTTTTTGTTAAAGTCCTTTCATCTGCCTGTAAGGTTGTTTTTTGTTTGGTTTTTTGGTTTGTTTTTTGCCTATCTACCTACATATCCACTTGTAGATTAAATTTTATTTCTGCTACAAATGCAGAATTTTAATAGTGTCTACCTTTGCTAACATATTTCTTGTGCACTTCTCCATACCTTCCTTTCTTGTGGCATTGTACTCATATCCATTTATTGTACGTAATCTTTCCCATTACCCATCTGAATATGTATCTGTTATCTGTTTACTAATTTTTCTTCCACTTTTCCTAAACTCTCTCCTCTGTTAACCATCAAATAATTTTTCTTTTGGTGCAAATCCTTGTTTAGATTTTTTTTTATAATAATGACACATATAATATTATCATCATAGTGGTCCCACCAACAGTGTATAAGTTTCTGTACATATTTCTCAGCATTTATTGTTTTTGTATTACTGAAATTTGCTATTGTTGCTGGTGTAGTTTTGATTTATGGGAGAAGGATGAGCAATCTCCTCCCGTGAGATCAACTGCCTCTGAAAAGCCTCTGGAGGGTCAGCTATGGGACAGTTCTTGCTCAATGGAACTCAATTACAACAACAGCTAAGGTGGAAGCTCTGGTTGCCTAGTGGTAAGGGGCTATACTGTAAACCCAAAGACACATGGTTTGGGTCCACAAGCTGGTCTGTGAGAGCCTCTGAAAATCTGCAGGAGAGTTAACTACAAGTCATTTCTGACTAGATGGCATACAACAATGATAGCTAAAGATCTTGAGCATTTATTTAGATGTTTGGTGGTCATTTGAATGCCTCTTCTGGTGAAGTGTTGTGTTTTTTTTTGTTTGTTTTTCATGTCCTGTGCCCATTTGTGCATTGAGTTGAATCATATCCTTTTAATATTTCTGTTTGAATATGTTTTCTTATACACAATATAGCAGAATCTATATATCATTTATAAAGGTGTAAATAAACATGTCTTTAATAAATACATTTTCTTTTTTAAAATAAGTGCAACGATAGCTTGATAAACTGTTACAACTTTCCTTTTCCAGACAGTAGCTTTCCACGTGCTACCCAGCGCTAACATCAGCATGCTCAAAAGGAAGCAGAGTTCCAGGGTCGAAGCCCAGCCGGTTACTGACTTTGGCCCTGATGAATCCCTGTCTGACAATGCTGACATACTCTGGATCAACAAGCCAGTAAGTTTCTGTCATCATCCCCTCCCCCTTTCCTCTCTTTTTCTTCCCCTTTTTTTCTTCCTTTCTTTCAGCATGGAAGAAATTTGATTACTATGATTTAAAAGTCATGGAAATTTGCTTTTGAAATGTCTCTGAGCTGAAGTGGAATATGGATGAGTGTTGAGATCAGGAAATTGATAAACCTGATGAGATACTGAGGGAACTGTATGAGGTGCTTCCTTGGGAAAACAAACAGTGGTCTAGTTCCTCCTGTCCTTCCTGGACACACACTCACATATGTGATACTTCTCAGACTCATTCAGAGTCCAAGAAAAAGAAACTGTTCTTAACTAACTTCTTAATTCAGCTCTCAGCATACACAAATCTATGGGAAAATTTTCTGATATTTGGAATTAAAGGTCTCCTTCTGAAATGTATGTTTTTGGTAAAAGTAAAGGTTAATGAGACAGTGAATAGTATCTCCGAAGAACCTTGTAACCTGCTCTGCCTAATTAAGTTAATGAGAACTCAAGAGGAACATCTATGAAACACATTGCTGTTTGACTATCTAGCAGCCAGGAATTGTTCCCTCTCCCAGTTCTTGTCTCTCCTCTGACTATGATTTCAAGTTACATCCCAGATTTACTGTCATCATCATTCTACTTTTTATCATAGTGATATCTCATTAACAGCATTGTAAAATGGAAATGTGTTACTGTTACTTAACTTGACTCCAACCTTCCAGAGGTTGCCCTATTCCTATCACTAGAAGCTTGGCTTCCAACCCAAAGGCCATGGTTTGGACACACCAGCTGATGCATAGTCCAAAAGATCTGGCAATTTGCCTCTGTGTGCATTGCTATGTTTGCATTCTCTAGAGTTGAGCCTATATTATAATTGATCTGTATAGTTTCTTCACCTGCAGTCTTTATAGGAACCAGTCATCAGGTCATTTCTCCTGCAAAGAGGCTAGTGAATTTGGACCACTGACTCTCATTTACCATATCTTTCTGTTAGCAGTCAAGTGCATAATGACTGTGCCACTAGGGCTCTTTCTATAAAGGCTATAAAACCGCCCCAAATCTGTTGCCATTAATTTACTTCTGATTCATATAATTTTATAGGACAGAATAGAGCTTCCCATAGCTTCTAAGAAAGCCTATTTTCTCTTTTTTAGTTCTTTAAAAAATTATTTAATAGAGGTTTATTTACAAAGTTGGTATACACTGTATGCAATCTTTCCCCTTTCCTTTACTCACCTCTCCTTCCACTTACCAAATTGTGCGACCCTATGATTAAGCCCCTTCCCCTTGGATCGTTGTACTCATTCTACAGTAATGGTTTTATACAGTATTTGTCTTTATGAGACTAAGTTCACTTAGCATATTGCTTGACAGTCATTTTTTTAAGGGAACAGAATGCTTCACCTTTTCATATAATTTGGTTGCTAGATTTCATCCACCAACATTTCCATTAGCAGCCAAACCAATGAATCTCAAGGGATTTTTTTCAGTAAAGAATTGTTGTTGGTTGTGTACCATTAAGTCAGCGCTGACCCATAACCAGCCCTCTTGTGGCTTATCAGAGGCTGTAGTTCACATGAGAGGAGACTGCCTGTATTTCACCCCTGGACCAGCTGGTGGAGTTAAACCATGTACCTTTGAGTTGACAGTGCAGTGGCCTACTGTTAAGAAGCTCTGCCGCTATCTTGAAGCCACGGAGTTTGAATCTACTAGTTGCTCCACAGGAGAAGGATGGGCAATATCCTCCTGTTCGATTAGCTGCCTCTGAAATCTCACTGAAAGGGTCAGCTATTGATTGCTTCCAACATGATGGTACACAACAACAACAACAACAGGATTTCACTCTGCGTCAAAATAAAATCCTGGTAAAAAAACAACATAGAACCCTGGAATTAAACTTCATCAGGTAACCTCTAATTCCTCCAAGATATCTGACTCTTCATGTTTGTTTCCTTTACTTATGTTCTTCTCAGAATGTTCTTTCCCAACTCCTCTGATGAGTCAAATCTTCTTCAATCATTAAGGCTGGCACAGATATCTCTCTCTCTCTCTCTCCACCCTCAGTCTAACCCAAAGGGTGACTCACTTCACCTCCCTGCACTGGACACAAAAAACCTTTCCTTTTGTAGTGATTACTCCATTTTCTATTATTTATATGTAGATAGATAGATAGATTTTTATTATTGGGTTGTGAGACAATTAAGACTTGGAAATGTGTTGTTTCCACTTTTCTGAAGATCCCTACATACTTTCTAAGAGATAATGTTTAAGAAAATGAATGGAATAGAGAAAAAAAAAACCCTGACTTTTCCTTGTGTCCACAATTTCCAGAGCTTTTAAAATATTTCTGGACAAGATAAAAATAGACATGTGACCTCTAAAGATCAGGCAGTGTCTACCTTGTCACCAGGGATGAGCTCACCAGCTGACACAGCCACACACCCAGAATAGACTCTTTTTCTTTGTTTATTTGTGATAAAGTAAGAGCAAAACCATCCTAATTTTTCATTATGATCCTTTTTCCAAGTATTAAAATTTAATTTTTTCAATGAAAAGATTCTTTCTTTGAAATTTTCTTGCATAATTAGAATCCTATTTTACACACTGATATTTACTGAAGCACTTCCAAATTTCTTTAAAAGAACATAACCCTTAAAAAAATTGAATTATCGGTGACTTACATGGCACGGAATCTATTAGCAGTTCCTTCCTTGGGAAAAAGATGGGCAATCATCCCCTGTGTGATTTGCAGACTCTGAAATCAGTTAAACAACAGTGAGTTTGAGTTGTGAGTATTTTAATAAGACATGGAAATTTGATGACATTATTTTTCAGCAAATATAGTAATTGTCATATAAATATTATAATATACCTATCAGCCTAAAAGTGAGTCTCATAAAAGTCCTGACAGTCTTTACAATTTTTAAAGAGTATTATTTACATTGTTTTAAGTGTGCACTACTTAACCTTGCTTCAGAATCTATTATAAAACTAAAAAAAATAATATGGTCACAGGAAGTTTAATAAAGAATTGTCATTATTAAGTGTCTAGAATAGCTTATAAATTATATACTTAAATTATCCTCAGATATATTTACCTGGGCTAAAATAAGCATTAATTAACTAGTTATTGTCTGCCATGAAGTCTAAACCAACTCATAGTTGACCCTTCAGTGGGTTTTCAGAGACAGCAAATTACATGAGAGATTACCCATCCTTCTTTTGCAGAATAGCTGCAGGATTTGAACTGTGTGACTTTGAGAGTGCAGAGCAGCTTCTTACCACTAGGCCACTAACATATAGATACAATTAAGTGGGTTTTCTTTTTATCTTGTTCTATGTGGGTGACAGTACTGATGTTGGGACCAACTCAAAGGCATCTAACAAAAACATAATTTTTAAAAATGAACAACTTTTGTAATAAAGTAATATATATGAATATATGTTGCACATACAAGTATACACATATATCGTTTTAATTTCCACTTCTTTTTGCCTGAGTTGATGGAAATCTTCAGGCAGCTGGTAAATAGCTAAGATTGCATAAAAACTCATAATGAAAATTTAGAAGAAATCAAAGTTAATTTTTGTTAAACATGTTCTCTAAATAAAGGTAAAGTCTATTTACTATATTTCAAATGTGAAGAATGAAGTTATATACTAAGAATATATTTTTTTATAGTAGGATGTTTTTCACAAGTTACAAAGAAAATTTAAAAATTAAAACCAAAACTCATTGCCATGGAAGCCCCTGACCTGTTCTGACCTTCCATTGGTATCTGAGGCTGTAAGTCATGATGGGAGGATGGCCCATCTTTCTCCTATGGAGCCGCTGGTGGACTGGAACTGCCAGAGAACTGCAGCATTTGTTTGAGAGTCAGAATATATGCCAGAGACTCCTTACTGAGATAAAACTCAAAGGCATTGATGTTAAGTTCAAACCAACACATAGCTGACCGCTCCAGCAGCTTTTCTGAGGCTATAAATCACACAAGAGGCATTACTCATCTTTGTACTGTGGAATATATGGTGGGTTTGGCCAGCACTGGAGTGCTGCCTTTGTGATAGTAGCACAACTCCTTATGGAGTAGACCAGATCTCCTACAAAGAGAAAGGAAAGAGTCTATATGGGAAGAGCTATATATCAATTCATTTCCAAAGCATTTGTGACATGTGTAGGTTATTGTGCTAGATAACAAAGTTATAGTAACAATAATGTGATGTCTAATTATAGGAGCTTATACTACACAAAAGAGTATTCTGGCTGCCCAATGGTAAGGAGCTATATTGCCAAACCAGTAGCAAGTGCTTCAAATTCACTACTTACTCATTGAAATAAAGATAGACAATACCCCCCATGAAATTTACAGTTGTTGAAAAACATACTTGACAGTAAATAAGAACAGCATTTTTCAATATTAAAAAGTATAAAAATAATAGTCATTCAAGTTTTTATATTATGTTACCAATACATGTCTATAATGAATTGAAATCTCCTCATATTATGGCAAGCTGTATGGGAAGCTGTGGAGGATTTGGGATAGTTTGTATAAGTTATACCCAATATTCCACTCTTATTAATGTACAGCCACAGAAAAGTCTCTTACTCTTTCTGAATTTCATTGTGTTCCCATGGAAAATAGGTTGTTCAACAATTGCATATCAAATAGATGGAATAATTTGCACATTATTTGTGCTTGAGAAACCTTTGTTTTCCTCTGTATTGGTTGATGAAATGTTTTAATGTCAGCATGTTAATGGTTTCTGGACTGTGTGGTTTACAGTATGAATTTAATAGCACTTTATGGTTCCAGGCACTAACTTTGAACTGCCTTTGCAGTGGGTTCACTCCTTGTTGCGCATCTGCGCCATCATCAGCGTCATTTCCGTCTGTATGAATACGCCAATGACATTCGAACACTATCCTCCCCTTCAGTATGTGACCTTTACGTTGGACACTTTATTGATGTTCCTTTACACGGCAGAGATGATAGCAAAAATGCACATCCGTGGGATCATCAAGGTGAGTTTTTCCATGTTATTTAAGCTTATAACCAAAATAAACTGAATATTTTATCAGTTAATAATATTCTGTATTAATCTTAGTGCAGCCAAACATTGTTTACCCAGGTTCAAGTCCTTTAAAAAGTTAGAACTCTAGATTGTGTAACTAAGATATTTAAGAATAATAAAAACATTAGAGTGCAGAGGAAAACTAGTTTCAGAATATCTGGCAAAGAGCTATAAGATCAGGGTAATGCCTTATCACCAAGGATTGATGAACTCATGACTTGGTTATTGTTGTTGTTATGTGCCTTCAAATCACATGCGACTCATAGTGACCTTATGTATAACAGTTCTAAACCTTGTTTTATCCTGTGCCAATCTTATTGTCTCCAACACACCTATTTCCATTACCCCAGTCACTGAATTAATCCACCTCATTGGGGGTCTTCCTCTTCTGCACTGTCTCTCCACCCTTCCAAGCATGACATCCCTCTCCAAGGACTGATCCAGCCTTGCAACATGTCCAAATTACATCAGATTGAAGCTTCTGAATTCTTGCCTCCAAGGACCAGGCTAGCTTCACACTCTCCAGGACAAACTCGTTTTCCTAGCAGTCCATGATATATTCAGTACTCTTCTTCAGCACCATAGCCCAAAAGCATCAATTATCCTTCTATCATCCCAACTCATTGTCCAGCTTTCTGATGCATAGCAAGTAATTGCAAAAACTTGCAAAAAAACTGGCCTTAGTCTCCAGACTGACATTGTCGCTCTTCAGTACTTTGGAGAGGTCTTTGACAGCAGACTTTCTCAATGCAATTTGTCTTTTAATTTTCTGGCTGTTGGTACCAAGAGTGTTGATGGGAGAGCCAAGCATACTGAAGCTGTTAACAGTCTCAATCTCTTCACCATCTATCATGATGCTATCAATTGGTTTAATGGTGAGAATCTTTGTTTTCTTGATTTTCTTCAATCCATATTGAAGGCTGCAGTCCTTGACCTTCCAGCAAGTACTTCAGGTCCTCCTCAGTATCAGCAAGCAGGGTTGTGGGGTTGTGTCATCTGCATAACACAGATTGTTGATGAATCTACCTCTAATCCTGATGCTACATTTCTCCTCATAGAGCTCAGCCTCCAGGATAATCTGTTTCACATACAGATCAAAAATATATGGAGATAGAATGCATCCTTGGTGCACAACCTTTCCAATTTTGAACCATGCAGTGTTTCCTTGCTCTATTCTGATGACTGCCTCCTGGTCCAAGTATAGGTTCTGCATAAGCACAATCAAGTGTTCTTGGATTCTCATTCTCAGAATCAGCCCATTTGTTGTGATCTACACAGTCAAATGTCTTTGCATAGTCAATAAACCACAGACATTCCTCTGTTACTCTCTGCTTTCAGTCAAGATCCATCTGGCATTATATCTCTTTACGTTGCTTTTTATTTATGGCATGATAAAATCAGAGACAAGTGTGATATTTAGTAGAATATTAATTAATTGTGTTTTGAAATGATAAAGGAATACAAATAAATGTGCAGGAGATAAAAAGCAATCAGACTATTATGGTAGAGAATGAAAGGGGCACCACTATTGTTGGTATGTGCCATTGAGTTGCCTATGACTCATGGTGACACTTTGTATAACATCTCTGAACCTTGCCTTATCCTGAGCCATTCTCACTGATTCTGACACACCTACCCCCTATTACTCCAGTTAAGCATCTCTTCCAGGGTCTTCCTCTCCTGCATTGTGCCACTATCCTTCAAAACTCTTCTTCATGGACTGGTTGCTTCTGGCCATGTACCCAATGTATGAGAGATGGAGCTTCAAAATCCTTGCCTCTAAGGAGAAACTTGGTTTCACCCTCTCCCAAACAGACCTGTTTGTTATCTTGGCAGTCCATGGTATGTTCAGTACTCTTTTCCAATACTCTTCTTCAGCCACAACTCAAAGGCATCCATTCTTCTTAAATCATCCTTAGTCATTGTCCAACTCTCTGATTCATAGAAGGCCTTGGCCTGGATCAGGCATACCATTACTCTAGCACTTTGGAGAGATCCCTGATATCTGACTTTCCCCAGTGCAACTGGTCTTTTGAATTCCTGATTGCTGGTGCCATTTCCTGACTGCTGGTGCCACTGTTGGTTGTGGAGCAGAGCAAGTTGAAATTGTCAACAACTACAGTTGCTTCTCCATCAATCATGGTGCTTGTTGGCAATTTGCCTAATTATGAAAATCTTCGTCTTCTTCATATTGAGCTTCAATCCATATTGAAGACTACAGTCCTTGACCTTCTTCAGCAAGTGCTTCAAGTCCACCTCAGTTTTGGTAAGCAAGGTTAAGTCATTTGCATAACACAGATTGTTGATATTGTCTTCCAATCTTGATGCCACATTTCTCCTTACAAAGTCCAACTTCTCAAATTATCTGTTCTGCATATAGATTGAAAAGGTATGGAGAAAGGACACATCCCTGACACACTTCTTTTCCTGCTTTTGAGTTATGCAGTGCTTCCTTCCTCTATTCTGAGGACTGTTTACTGGTCCATATATGGAACAGGCCATCAACTACTCATATGCAAGTTCAAAGTAAAGCTAAATAAGATTAAATCAAATCCATAGGAACCAAAATTCGACCTTGAGTCTATCTCACCTGAATTTAAAAACCGTCACAAGAATAAATTTGATGGCTTGAATACTAATGAATGAAGACTTTATGAGCTGTGTAAGGATGTCAAGAATATTATCCACTGTTTTTTCAGTATTGCATAGTATTCCACTGTATGAATATATATAGTTTTTTCTATCCATTTATGGATGATCTCTTCGGTTGCTTCCATCTCTTTGCTATTGTAAATAATGCAACAATAATTAATTAATTTTTATGCTTTTCTGACTGATAGAAATTTCTTTTCATAACTTCTCTGTCACTATAATATATATTCTAGGAAAATTAGCAACTCTGTAGCATAGGCCAATATATAATCTAAATATATATTTTCCAGTATCTCAATTATTTTTGACAGTTGGTTTCTTTGACTCAAGACTCGAACATATATAACATTTAGTTGTTATATATTTATGTCTTCTTTACAGCCCCCTACCTACTTTTTCCCAAGTCATTAATCATAAATCCATTAAAAGAAACATATTCTTCTTTTCTCTTTTTTTAGCATGCCACGCAGTCTTAGATTTGGTGAAACACAGCCTCCTATTGTCATTAATTAGTTTCCATGTGTATTTTACACCATTTTAAATTTTGACACCTATTGTTTTCACCTCAGCCAATTTGTATTCTATGTATCAAAGCTGTGTTTCTTCAACATTACCCTTCTTGAATGGTATTTTGGGAGAGCATCAGAATGTTCCAGTATTTTTGACTTTTCTGCTGTGCCTAAGTGAATGTTTTTTTAACTATTATTTGTTCTTGTTTTCTGTTTGTTTGTTTGCTTGTTTATTTGTTTCATTCAACTACAATTTGTCTCCCATTTAGTCTTCTCCATACTTTCCACTAATTCTTATATTTGCCTTCCTCCCTGTCCCACTGAGTATTTGGTGATTTCTGTGTCCTGGGATTCATTGATCACTCAGAACTCTGTACCTATCTCCCATCCACAGCTTCTCACAGCTGTGGTCTTGGGTGATCTCTATTATTTTCATTCAGTGGATCTTTACTTCAGAAGGCCTGGTTCTTTCATTCAATGACATTCACAGTTATTTTTCTTTTGTTATCCAGTTTGCTATATATTAGGTTACTGGAGAAATTTTAAGAACTACCATTGTGATTTTATCCAAATTGAAGTAAATCATTTCATTTTATAGTAGTTTATTTAGTATATATACAGATGCTGGACATAACTGCCTTACTGTATGAAAACTGCTTAAAATAAATTACTTTAAGAAAAAGGAACCCAGTTGGTGTAGTGTTAAATAATTAATCTGAAAACCTAAAAGGTGGTGATTCAAACCCACCAGTCAATCCAGTCAAGTAAAATGAGGCAGTCTGCTTCCACAAAGAGTTAAAGTCTTAGAAACCTTATCAGAAAATTATACTATATTGTTGAGGGTCACTTTGAGTTGAAATCAATTTGATAGAAGTGCATTTGGTTTTGTTTGGGTTTTGAGATGAAGAAATATTACTAATGCTAATAGTGTTTATAGACTGAAGCTTAACATCAAGAAGATAAAGAATCTCACCACTGGGCCAATTGGCAGCAATATTACAGATGGAGATGTGATTGAGGTTAACAATTTCAGCTAACTTGGCTCCACAATCAACATTCTTGGTACCAGCAGCCAGGGAATCAAAAGACAAATAAATTGCATTGCAGAAGTCTGCTGTCAGGGACCTACCTCTTCAAAGTCCTTAAGAGCAATGATATCAGTCTAGAGCCTAAGAAGCGTCTGATCCAGGCCATGGTTTTTGCAGTTACTTGCTATACATCAGGTAGCTGGACAATAACTAATTATGACAGAAGAAGAATTAATGCATTTGAGTTGTGGTGCTGGAGAAAATTACTGAACATAAATACCATGGAACACCAGGATAACAAATAGTTCTGCTTTGGAGAGGATAAAGGAAAGTTTTTCCTTAGAGGCTAGAATTTTGAAGCTCTGTCTTACATACTTTGGGCATGTGGCTAGGAGGAACCAGTCCTTGGAGAAGGATGTCATGATCCAAGGAGACCATACTTGAAAGGGTGGAGAGATAGTGCAGAAAAGGAAGACCCTGGATGAAATGGAAAACACCATAACTGGAGCAATAGGATTAGGTGTGTCAGAGTCAGTAAGACTGGCTCAGGATAGAGCCAAGTTCAGAGCTATTGTACATAGGGTCACTGTGAGTACGGATGACTCAATAGCACATAAAAACAACAATAGTATGTAAGGCTTCTAATCATGAAAGGAAAATGAAATCAAAGGATTTTTTTTTCTTTTTAAAAAGTGCTTAGAAGGCTTTTTAGCCACATTGACTGAAAAATCAAAATTATCTGGGATCATTGAACAAAACAT